TGACTGACTGACTGACTGACTGACTGACTGACTGACTGACTGACTGACTGACTGACTGACTGACTGACTGACTGACTGACTGACTGACTGACTGACTGACTGACTGACTGACTGACTGACTGACTGACTGACTGACTGACTGACTGACTGACTGACTGACTGACTGACTGACTGACTGACTGACTGACTGACTGACTGACTGACTGACTGACTGACTGACTGACTGACTGACTGACTGACTGACTGACTGACTGACTGACTGACTGACTGACTGACTGACTGACTGACTGACTGACTGACTGACTGACTGACTGACTGACTGACTGACTGACTGACTGACTGACTGACTGACTGACTGACTGACTGACTGACTGACTGACTGACTGACTGACTGACTGACTGACTGACTGACTGACTGACTGACTGACTGACTGACTGACTGACTGACTGACTGACTGACTGACTGACTGACTGACTGACTGACTGACTGACTGACTGACTGACTGACTGACTGACTGACTGACTGACTGACTGACTGACTGACTGACTGACTGACTGACTGACTGACTGACTGACTGACTGACTGACTGACTGACTGACTGACTGACTGACTGACTGACTGACTGACTGACTGACTGACTGACTGACTGACTGACTGACTGACTGACTGATTGTACAGTGTCTTGAAGTATTCCGAAAATCTGCTTTGCTAAATAATAGAAATTTGTGGTCTGGAACCATCGACGCCGGCACTAATGTACAAAATGGACTCAGCTATCGAGACATCCCTGTCATAGATTAAGTAAAAAATAATATTTCAATTGAGTTCTATAAGAGTTGTCCAAAAAATAGCAATTTGACTTTAAAAGAAAGTTTGATAACAATACTTCAAGACAATAATGTGAAACGCCACATATTAACATATGTTCAAAGTTGTTATCATGGCAACTATAGCTGACGATACAAATATTTTCCAAATTTGAAATTAGCATTTATTTATTTGTTTACGTGAACTACCAACGGGCATAAAAACCTGTTCACTGAATGCATCAAAAAGACAAAAATTGAAAAACAAAACAATCAATACAGATATACGTGAAATATAAAAAAGGTTAGTAAATACATATCATAAATCTACAAGATTTGATGTCACATGTTTGGCATGAGTCTTATAACGGTGGAGACGAAGTCGCTATCTCACGGTCACTCAGATGAAGAAGAAAACATAGAGAATATTTTATGAGTGGCCCCACAAAATGAGATTTTCTTAAACGAGTGTAGTAATTTTGTTTGGCAAGAAAATTACTGCATGAGTTTACTAAACCTGATATTGTGGGCCACTAATTTAATACCCTGTTTATCCCATGTGTCCATTTCGTAGCTTGCGTGAAAAAACACGTACCCAGTGATTTCAATTTGTGAGCGCGTATTCAAACATCATAGACCGTCCTTGCTAATTTGCATAAAAGATCGCCGTTCAAGAACACCGATTAGGGAACCAACATTTAAAATCATGGAGGTGGCTGGAAAACTAAATGTAGAGTGTAATTTTTATTTTCGTGGTGTCTTATCTGTGCATTTTTCTTTTTCTTGAATCTGCCATTTTTTTCCTTGCAACACATTTCATGCATTTCCTTTCTCTTTTTAAATTAATAAATTGTCCAGCCACCCTCATGATTTCAAATAGTTGACCCTTACCGTAATGTTTCGCTATATTGTGATTAAGTCATCTCTATATTTCGGGGTATGTATTTGTAACATAATTAAAAACCTTTGAATCAATTCAAGCCATGGCAGATTCACAATTCTTGAAGAAAATCACTACTAGACCTGGGTGAAACAAATTTCTATGCGCGACGAAGTTTGGAAGAATTTGAAAGGATATCTCAAACACGTGCTGCTTTATATTAAACACGTGTTTTGCATACTTTTTGATTCACGGATATGATGTTAAAAGTTCAATTAGCTTAGCAATGCATGGACCAATCAGATTGCCAAGATTTCTATTACAAGGTATGGAAACATAAAAAAAAATTACACAGAACTGGAATGATATAGGATAAACCCTTTTACGTCACGGTCATTACATGTATTGATCCGAGTCTGATTGACTATCGAAACCCCGCCGGCCGCGTGTAAGTCTAATTAAATATTGTCTTAACTCTTCGACTGACATTTGTGTTAGCAAATTAAAAATACAACGCAGAAAACAGGCAATATAAATACATCGTGATTTGATGGCCACTTCCCCCGACCAGTTTGCTGAAGCACAAGACATCGAGTCCGGAACAAACGGAAGGCGTTCGTGTAAAATCTGCGTGATTAGAGCATGCTATGGTGTGCCGAGTGTATGTGAGCGTGTGGAGAGAATTTTGGGTAAACTTGACTAGCTTAAAATTCGTCTTGAATCCCTTATCCGAGATAATAAAGAAATCGTGAGTTTGTACGACACAATTCGCCTTGTTACGACACAATTCACCTTCTTACGGTACAAATTACAAAGTTCTAAATGGTAGATTATCAAGGCACTATAAGTAGAGTCTCTCTTTATACCGCGTATGCACAGGATGAAAGTTTTGTTTCTGTACTTGTGCAAGGAAGTGACGAATTTATAAACTGTGCTGACGGTTGTGGAGCCTTCAAATCCGAATAACTACCAGGAACTTGAAACTGGCCCTGCAAGTGATATGATTGCGCATGCGTGAAGCATCCATTTTGTCCGTAGAAATTCCCAGCCAAGTTGTTTCTGGCGGCAGCCGCAGCGTCGTACGAGGATGCATGACTGAATCCAAAATTCTGATTGGTGGAAGAAAGTGAGTTGGTTGCGCCAAACGAAAATCCGTAACTTTGTGGAGTGAGGGACCGGGTACTCTTTCCTGCCATTAAAGCGTTGTACTGCGGGTAACTGCTGTAAAAATTATCGGTGTCAATACTTGTTTGGAGAAGACCATACGGCGCTCCAAACCCGGCTTTGAAATCACCCACTTTACAATCTCGTTTCCTCCACTTGGCACGACGATTTTTGAACCAGACCTGCAAACAAACAGCCTATGATAAGAAACAAATCTTGATTGCGATATCGATATCAAAATATACTAGCCCCCACCTGCTACCAATTTACCCGTACTATCAAAAGACCACAAGATTTATGTGACTATCGCCATTTTGCTTTTGTCGCCCAATGATGATGTTTGATTTTAGTTACCGACAAACGATAGCTATCGTCGCCACACTTTTACAAACTAAAATACTTTTTGGTTCAAAATGTTACCCCAACTTTTACAATATCTTAAATCTCAGAATGCTTGGACTAGTAAATCGTGTTAAACTTATGTTAATTAGAGAGTATCATTATTTTGACTTTGGTGGGTAGAAATAATGATTGAAGATATTTAAAAAAATGAAAACTAGGAGCGAAATGCAATTTTATTTCATGAAATGAAACTCGCCTCAGAGAGATATACGACAGTGTAAGTCGTGCCACCCAAATATTATGCATCCGTCGCACCGTTGTAGCATGTGACCATTAGAGAATACACTTGGAGCAAACATTCCGCAGAGAAAACTTTGTGTATAGATCTGTTTCTTACTCACCCGAATTTGTTTCTCCATTAGACCTAGATATATGGCTATTTCTTCCCTCGTTGCCATGTCGGGGTAGCGATACCGCGCGAAGTACGATTCCAGTACCTGCATTTGTTCCGTGCTGAAGTGAGTTCGTCTTCTTTGTAGTCTGAGATCTCCTTCACAACTGCCGCCGACCACAGCACTAGATGTGCGCCCATCTGTGGTAGTGTTTTCTAAAACGAGTAAGATTACATAATGTGATGTGATGTGATTTGATGTGATGTGGTGTGATGTAGAGTAAGCGAGGGATGGTGGTGCGCAGGACAACAGGGGGGAGATTGCCAAAACAGCTCCACGTTGGAGATTTTTAAATACTGAATTGACCTGATATGATGTATACCTTTGATATTACACGTTGCCAAGCCTGTGGAATTGATCGACTGATAACTAAAACAAATTCACCTGTCAGTCCTACATTAATCACCTGGTAGTGAATACGTGTATGCGAACACACGTTAGCCGTTCTATGAGGAATGGACACCATTAGTCGGCGTCGAAATTGAATCTTTTAATGTAAAACCGATTTCGTTATAAGTCCGGTCAGGGGCAGCCACCAGCATACGGACACTCACGGCCTTGATGTAGTAATTTTCGCCAGAAGTACCAATAAGTAAAAGAATTTCCCCCAAAAGAACAATTCTCCAGAAATCGAAATACTTCTTCGGGCCTTACTCACTTTCAAACTCTAGATCCACCGCTACCGTCCAGTTGTTTTATTACACGTATAAATATGACGTATTTCTTTTAGGTTTATTAACATTAAGTCTTGGTAGAACATGGTCTATTCAAAGTGGTCAAAGGAGTGACGAGCAATCCTGTTTATTATCTCAGACAAATCAAATCAACTTGCCAGATTATAAAGAATATTAAGCTTGCTGACATAATAGTATTTTGTTGCTGAATGCTACGGGGATTTGCGATGATCCTCTATTTACCTTCCATATAATTGCAACATACGCTCACTCACTGAAATGAACATTAAAGTCATAAAAGCGTTCTTAGCCATTTTGTCGCCAACTCGTTTGGAAGTTCTGCCAGACTACAAGTTAATTGTTTTAACGGAACGTTTACGTATATTCGGTCACAACAGCAACGGTATGCCCATAATCTCAAGGAGTGTTTCATGATTTTGTTAAAAGACCCCGGGCCGCCTAATGCCGTGTCGTCAGGAACGCTTTAATGTTAGTAGCAATTATCCGAAGGTTCGTAAAGTGGGCGTTATTTGCGCATATCCACGCTACCAGGAGACGCGTCCACAACAGACATTTGTCTTAGCTACACTGACTCCATATTAGCTAAACGAGAATTTCTATAGATTGACACGATCACAAGCGATGTGCGAAATCTATCGATATATATATAAATTAATCTTCACCCCAGATAGTTTAATTATGTTATCCCCGTTGACATGGATACCGCAATGTTCAGTTCTTGTTATAAATATGTAATTCTTCATTCAGACAAACTTTACCCAACGAATTAAAAATTATATCTGTGGCTTATTTTACATCGGTTTCGATTTTTTTACACATTCAGAACGCAATAGGTTGTGGTTTGTCGGCGTTTTGTTTGTTTGTTTGTTTGCAAAACACTCCACGATGGCCTTACACCGTGTTTACAAATATTAACTTAAGTAGCACATAAAGGGATTGGAGTAGTCTATTCAAGGCGTAGTAAAGACAGAGGGCCGTGAGGAACGATTAGGGCAGCAGGACTATCGACAAGCTATATAATTGTTCTTAAAGTACAGTTCACCTCATAGGTGTAATAGTTCAGTAACATTTAGCATCTACGACGTATTCACCGTCGTAATACTGGTATAATGTGTAATCTTGTTTTAACATCCTGTATGTGCGCAATTTGTTTTAAGGTTGGCCCCTTTATTATCATTATTATTTCTCGGTAATCATATTTAATAATTTGAGTGGGTGGGACTTTTTTTAAGTTACATTCATTGATCTCCAGGCGGCCATATTTGTTTCAGCCCAGTAACCTAGTTTGGAATCCCTTTAGCATCCATCTCTATGCCAAGTGAGCTGAAATCGACTTTCTTTGTTGTCTTTAGCCAGTAGTTTATAACATTTTTTGTACTTGATAGCATTAAGGGTTATCTGCCTAATTGCAACAGACATGTTAAATTTATGTTAAAATAGTAGTATTAGTTTAGCAATACTATCAAATAGTTTTCGATAGGATTTAGAGAGAAAGATGGCTATTTAACGTTCGCCAAGGTAAAGCACGGCTAACGAGACCAAACACGCTAACCACGAACACTACACCACGTACAGTTATAATATTTAAACTTAAAGTGTTGTTTGAAGTTGCATTTTTTAAGCTACAATGCAAAGTAAACGAATTTCTCCATTGAATTTAGACGAGGCAAAAATAATCAAATTCCTTAAAGAATAGCTAGGCTAATTGACGTAAAATTGTACCAGACTGATGTTAGTCTATAAGATATAGTCTTTAAATACTTTAATAGACCAGGTGCAACCACAGACGCCGAAAGTTCAAAGTTCAAATAACACTGAGCACCAGAAAGTCGTCAAATTTTCTCCTCAGATTGCGATAAACGTTTCGGCGCCTAAGCGACTGGAAGATATTGTTTTTTACGAGTATTATTTACCACTGGTTTCCAGGTTTCATCTGACGTGAATACTGCTTCAAATCGACAAGGCCACCAAAACTACTACTATCACGGTTGTTTACTGCATCGAACTGAAAAACGCATAATAAAATTACCGAGTAGGCACGCGAAACAACACTCAACGTGCCGGTGTCGTGGGTTTCGTTAGCCATGCCAGCCAAATACAAACCATTTTTGTGTTTATTACTATCATTGACAAATATTGGGCATGTTGAGTCATATACCACCAACATATTGATACTGTTTATGATAGGAAACGTTTTGACACGTACACATACCCAGGTGAAAAGGTGTGTGATCGGCGGGCGAGACATGTCATGACGTAATTAACAGTCCATTCCCTTGACATATCTACATTGCCAGGTATCTACTTCTTCGTAAATTCTTATTTTTAAGTTTTTCTCCTTAAAATAATTGTATTTTTATATACACTTAAAAGTTAAGTGAAGATTACAATTATCCGCATATCTCTATCAAATCAATAGACAGTGTGCTCGAGACAAGTGAAACAAATTTAAATAATAAAATAATTCATAAACTCATTAAAAAATATATGTAAATCACAATTATATGATTTTTCAAAGCAAAGAAGACAACAACAGACTACAGTTTCGAAAAACGGTAGACAAACGTGGTTGTGGTGGAAACAATCACATCCATGCAGAGTAAGGTTAAATGCTGCCGTGACACGAACTCGTCAAGCTGGCAAGCATGGGTCACACCTGTGCGATACTAGTATCGTGTTTTAAATTTTCCTTCTTGTCAATTTGACGATAAACTGTTATTATCAAAATCTGATATGAGTGGAGTGGGTTCGACTGACAGAAATTAATCGGAGCTCTTGACTTTAAGTGACGTCGGGTGGCGTTGCTTGCCGGCAGCTAGAGTAGCAAACTGTTGTACGAATCGAACGACTGATATGATCAAACAACGCTGAGACTCAAACGTTGACATTTTTAATCCCCAAACAACAAATAGACAATGATAACTTACGAGGGATCGACAACGTAACTTATTAAATAACATGTGTTATGCATATGTTCGATTGTATACCTTTTTTTTTGGTCAGTTTATTCTCAGTTATGCAACTTAACAGATAATTACGCGTATGTAGAAAAACAAAACAATGTTAAGTATACTCAAATTTGTTGACTTGCTTTAGAACACATAGCTTACCTGTATCCCGTTGTTGGTCAATCTTTTTAGTATGGCTTCTTCCTCCTGTCTGTAAGCTACCCATATTGGACAGTCTGTCAATGTTACTATTCGTCCCAGACATATGTACTTCTTGCTTGGGATAGACGTTCTTGTGGATGAACTCTGCTGTTGAGTCGCCTGACGTCACAGGGTCTGTGAGATAGTTCATTGTCTGGTGTAAACTGTCAATCAATGGCGTCAATGTAGTGAGTGTATAGTCTCTGCAATGGTGTCCTAACTGACTTAGTAGGAGCTAGTGTCGAATCCTTGTTATATAGTGGAGTTCCACTATCAACCCTCGTACGGTGGCAGTAGCGGTTCAAGTGGCGGAGTAGGTTGTCCCGGAGACGACCACTTCACTGGTTGCTATCTAAGGCCGCTAACTATATGCGCATGCTTAACTACCGGTGGAAAAGAACAAAATAGGTCCATATATTTTAAATGATTGTCGGTACATCTGGTCTTTGAGTGTTGCAGGTGGAGCGGACCCTTTCCATTCAGATAGTAACTTCTAATTTATTCTATATTTTTTCTTTCTTGTTTTTATTTGCATTTCATGAATCTGTTCAGTTTAAAACTGATACATAATGTTCACACTTTATTCGATATGTAGCCCCACACAACTCATGGCCAGGTAAACAGCTTGTTCAAACTACCAAAAATTCGGTCTGATAAAACTAGACCAATGACAGCTTAATAGTCTCTGAGCCCCATAGACCAGACAAACACTGGGACTCGGTCTGTTGCGAGTCGACCCAACACTCCTAGCCTCGCCATTCCAAAGGCGTTTAGTATATATATGGTGTTCCACTCACTTTATCTCCACTCTCTACTCACGTATATCACAGACTCCGGTCATATTTGACGGACATCAAAACTTTTCACCAGCTTGTAAACACTTTTTCAGACAGGTTCGCAACAAATGTAAATCTCTGCCTAACCTAGAGTGGCCCTCTTATGTGATAGCATTCACGATTGGTAATCACAGAATGGCCCCAGAAACCTCTGTCAAGTTTTGTCATCATGAGTGATGAACATTATACACATGACTGCCTAATAAAAAAAAACGCCCTCAGTCGACGTTAGTTTATTAAATATCATACCTTACGTGTATTCGGGAAAAAACAGTATTTGTTGAAATTTAATCTTGGGCAAAATATTCCAGAATGTGTGTCCATTCAGCACTATGAGGAGGTTTGACAATATTATTTAGTAAAACATTCAGATTTTATGTAATACAGAAAATTTCTCTGAACGGAGACAGAACAATTGTGCTAATTGGTCAAACATTCCTGGGTAAAATCATGTCTAGGTCAAACATTCCTGGGTCAAATCATTT